TCGACCTGATGATTGTAGTGATCTAGGCACAACCACTACCTAGACCCCTACAGCCCCACCAGCAGCCACACAGTAGCTAGTAGCATATGCGAAGGAACACCGCCGACGAAGATAAGGGAGTGCGTTGGACTTCCATTTACCAGGTCGCGAGGCTCGTGCCTCGGGTGGTGCATTATCTGGAGTTGGGTATGGCTGGCTGATGACGGCTAATAAGCCAAAAATGGTCATTTTAGTTTCCCTTGTCTTCTCTGGCAGTTTTAAGTTGTTGATTTATTGTCTGAGCTGTGAACTTGTGGGATCTTGCCTCTCTGACTCACGCCGGCTTTCTGCCAAACCACGGGGGCTCAGTGTTCACTCGTGCCCGCTACGCACTTTGTCTGCCAACCACTGCGAGAGGACCGCTGTGTCCTGGCGGCCTTATGCTCCCCCCGTGTGTTCGCCGTTCGAGGCGCAAGTTCCAGCCAATTGATGAGCGCCTGTCCACCTGGCTCGCTCCACGACACACTAAGCCCATTCCGCAGGCAAGACGGAACACAAGTCCCCTTACTGACTCGGTGTGCACAAGGAGTTGGTTCTGGCACATAACTCAGCCTTTGTACTTTCTATCTTCCGGCAGTACATTTCTGTCCACCAACATCGTCTTGCTTGACTTGTGATTTGGGAGAATTTTCTGTTTGTCGACATCACAGCTTACGACATACTCTGTCAGGTCATTTCAATGTGCGTGGTATAAGATAGCGGTAAGGTGTATTAGTGCGTTTTTATAAACATTGTACACGAGTGAGGACCGGGTTATTATCTAAAACAACCTTTTTAGGGTTCCCAAAATAAGTGAAAACGATTGTTACCTTGTGAACCACGATCGTTAAAAAGCAGGACTTCCGCGTAGGAAAGATCCCAATCCATTTAATGCAGGAGTCAACCACCATAAAAACCAGCTGGCCCTGAAAGGATCTAAGGGAAGGCGGTGTTTACTCTCTTCTACGACGATTTGGGCTGGGTTCAAGGCTCTGCGAGCATGTAGTG